AATGTACAAAAGTATAAAAATGATAATAATTATATTAATAACTAAAACAATGGGATAACTGAATCAGTGTCACCATGAATTACAAATAAGAGAAGATAAAAGAGTCATTATATATTTTGCTAATTACATAGTAAATTATAAGTTTCACGCCTAACACTTTCTCTATCGCATAGAAAGCAAGCCAAACAGGGTATTGTTGAGGCATTGTACTTAAGTGTGAGAGCAAATGATCATTTTATACTGACTTCCAGTTCTACCTGATGAGAGGCAGTAAGAGAGAATTGTGAATAAAGAGGGTGTTGACTGTCAAACGCTATGGATTTAGCCCGTTTATCTCATGAGTCCAGATGTCTGTCGACTGACTACAACAGTCACGAGCTAACTTAGTGGCATACCGCCTACCCAACTGACAACCTTTAATACCCTTCGCAATATGACATAGCCCTTTTTGAGTAACACAGGAAAGACTAAGGAGGAGCAATAGGTAGAATGCAGCTGACAAACTGTAAAAGCATAGGTTGAGTGATTGGTGATTGTCTTAGCTTTCTAATGTAAAAGGTGAGACGGAACATTACCTTAGAAATCGACAAGGTGAAAGGATAGAACTATTGGAAGATATTTTATGTTGGACTTACAGGTCAAAATGAATAAACTAACTAATCTGTCTACTTTAAAACGGACAAAATGGGAAGGAATTTCATAAGCGCATACCGAAGACAGAATGACATTGAACAATTTCAAACTCATAATTTCAATAGATTAACAGCTGAAGTGATTATTGAATCAGCGTATACCAAATTTATTCAGGTTACCTCTTATGACTACAGATGATGCTTATTTAGTAGCTTATTTTGGCTGATAGTGACTAGCCGTGTAGTCCTAGATGCGCATTTCATCTTATTTAGGACACATCATCTTGATTTATCAATGAGTGATGATGGTGTTTCTACTGGGATGTTAGCCCTGAATTCATTGTTTCATTCGCAAGATCCAGTTGTTGTACAACGGGTCTCATTAGTTGCTATTCCTATTTAGGTTAATTTGTATCTCCTTTTGAACGATTATGCTAGACCGAAATGCCCGACTGATAGCTGCCACCTTGACGTGGTGGTCGCGCTTGCACATCACAATGACCCAACAGGCTACACTGGCTGGAATCAATGTTCCTGTAGGTCACACCATGCCAGGAAGGTTATTAGGATAGCGATTAGACTAAAAGCAGTCACCAGCAGAGTGGAAGAATCTTTCTTACACTATGTTGGGGGTCTGAGGGTGAAGTCGTAATCCTGGGGAAAAGGGATGTAAATAAAGTGAGCTGTTTCCCTCAGACGACCAGCATGCCAGCTATGCTGTCTCTCCACTCCGAAGACAGGGGGTTAGAATAGGTCGACCCCAAAAATTGTACATTCCAACTTACCCTTCGGTGGTCCGTAACCGGGAATAAGTTTAGTAATACGGAACCAATCCCAGAAACCAGATCATACAGGCCGTATGTGACCGGCGTCAAGCAGTTGTCCCCTGGTCTCTGCGGTCACACAACACTAACCCTCTTTCTGTTTTAGGTATCGGAAGATTCTACAAACTTCCACGGAGTGGGAAGCTGGGAAGTAACAACCGCCCACACACTTCCTAAAGCACACAAAATCTTCCTGAGAATCCTCGGTTTATGTTTATTCGTCCACATTAGTATGGCGTGTCCTGATGACAAGATTTATCAGCAGTATATAGACAAAGATAGATAGGAAGTACATCATCCGGTTCCTCTTATGAGTATGAATTAGGAAAGAGCGAACATATTTGCAGGATAATACTAGCTCGTTCTATTTCGTGATAGAAAGTAGCCAAAACTGGAAAACAATTCTTTAGTCAGTGGCTACAGAAGTAGAGGTGTTTATTTCTCAAAACTGGACTCAGGTTACTTTGTGGTCAGGAATAAATTTTATGGTTTATCCTTCGGAAACTCAGCAACCAATCAGAACAGTTTATTATCCGTAGACCTAGTGGACCAGAAATGTGGCTGGCTAAAAATGTATAAATATGGTGTATTCTTTTTCAATAAAATGTCTCTTGTTTTCTTCTTTTACACTCATGATTACATGTCAACACAGAGTGAGTATTTCCATCCATCATAATCAATTTACAGGAAATATAAATTAACCCAAAAGTCTGTTAACCAACGTATATGAGGAGGCGAATAGATTGCATATACGCTGAGAAGACCATTGAATGACATTACGCGTCAAGCCCATCAGTGGAAGTCGAATGGAGAACGACTAGCAGTGTGCTAGACCAAAGCTGACACGGGGAAGATCGTCCCAGAAGGAGATGATAGCTTATAAGCAGTCGTGAGATTAGCTGGAGAGGACTACAGAGGACAAGATGAACCCGACACGACAACAATATTACACCTGTTATCATTATTATCTTCAAAACAAAATTAATACAAACATTTAGAAAAAAAAGGGTAAGCTTACTCATCACGTGAATTCATGTAAAAAAAAACCGGTGAATATCATCGTGTCGAACACTGAACACCATCGTGAAAAATAGCTTACCTCTTGTCTCTCATCAGATAGGACTAGAAGGAATTGAAGAAAAACTTTATCGTTAGACGACTAGGTATAAAACTCAACGATACCTGATTGGATACGCATCTTATATAATGAGAAAAGCGTAAGGTATGAAACTACTACTAACTTACTGCGAAACAATAAGTAAACAGCCCTATATTCATTCTTTCTATTATCTACTTCTGCTTAATTTTATTTTACATTCATATTATAGTGACATTATTGTGAATGCACATGGCCTGTTAATCATTTCCCTCTTTGTTATGTAAATGTAAAGAGAAAATCAGATACAATATTGGTCAAAGTTAAACTGTCATAGCCAAGACCACAGCGACCATGAACAACCAATCACAATTCAGGTGCAAAAAAGTTACATATTCATTGAAAAATGTACTAAATAACATTGCAAATGTGATATTATTCTATACACTTTTCGCTTTTGTATTGTAAGGATGTCGCCCAGTCAATATACAAGTGGTATATAGAGAAATTGTCACATGCGGAATATGCCCATTCATCCAGATGACTGTATTTCATGGTAGCCTGGGATGCATTGATATTTCTGATACTATTTCCCAGCCTATGCCTAACGCTAACTACAATCCTAACTCTTAATACTAACCTTAACCCTAGCTAGACCTTATTCTTATAGACCATAATCCTACTTAACAGTATAGATATGCAGAAAAATTACCTATTAAATAGGTAGAATACTTTAACTATCCTCTCCAAGTCCAAAAAGACAGGCATGCTTTCATTTGGAATGATTTTTCATAGCATCCCGTGTGGCTGATAGGTTCTTAAAGGTTAACTTTTGAAAGGCGTTGACTTTGGCTATGATACTTCAACTTCGCCCATTATTGTAATACATACTGGGACTTCCAAATTGTATAAAATGTAACTTTTGGAATTAAAGCCATAATTATTACTACTTTATTATTGTTATAGTTGTTATCTATTGATTATTAATGTTTGGATGGCGATTACTCATAAAAACATTATAAGACAAAGGAAATAGAAGATGGCATTAACAAGAATCGAAGATGACGTCACATTCATGATATGCACAAAGTATGAACTAATAAGAATATTTGTACATTGATTTATAATAACAACTACATGGACTTCAGCCACATAATTACTGTAAATGACTCATTTGAAGAAAAATTAATAACTATAAAACTTGATGCATACTTTAATTCGGCAATCATGAGTGTTTTCCCGACTTAATTCTCCTCCATTACAGTAAGCATATCATTATCCCGTTATTATTATTTATTGTTAAGAGGTTTGTGCACATAGCAGACTCCTAATGACAGTTTCACTACTAAATAAGATCGTCGTATAAGAATTAGTTTCTTTATGAAGAATTAGAGATTGAGGAACATCAAAACATTCCTTATTTTACTTCTGAAGCACAAATCTTTTCCTATAATTATGGAGTATTGAGTTTTTCGAGTAAATGTCAGTTTTTAGAGATTTGACTGGTTTGAAGTTTGTTCAAGGAGTGACATCCAAAGGAAACTGTGGTGAAATCTCACCTTGAACTGTGAAACTGAGAATCCATTTGCAAATGGCGAACATGATTTATAGTATTACTAGCCCAGCCCCCTTCACCCCAGTAGCCAGTCAGAAATCGGGTGGTTTAAACAAATTTGGCTGTCTGAGATAAATCAAACCGAACATATCGCTGACGGGCTTTACCCAAAGCGAGAGAAAAGGACGTCCACCGGCTAGGTAGCTCCAATCTGGCTGATATCAACAACATACAACTATTTGTCTGTATCAATCAGCAGTATATAGTTTTGTGCATTTATGCCTGTTCTTTAATTACCATTTATGAAATCAAGGAGATCAGATATTTTGATCCAGATAATTTCGGTTTCTAAATGGAATTGTGGTGAAATAATTATCTGAAACTATGTAAATTGCGAATTAATTTGAAAAATGCGAAATTCTCTTTCGGACTGATATCAGACACAGAACTGTTAAACTTCGAACCATTCAAATCCCTACAAACTAATATTTGAAAATTAATCTGATGCTCACCAGCAACTGAATGCAGAACTGAAGTTTTATTAGGAGATCCTGATCAGATGGGTCAATCAGGTTAGGCACGAAGACAAATACTCGCCGATGACATTGGCTGGTGTTAGCACTAAAAATCGCTGACTGATAAGAGTTAGCAATCATAGGCCATTGGATTCCGTCCCAGTGGCTGAATGCTCTACAAATTGGCTTCCTGGGTTCGATCCCAGATTACTGCTGAAGAGTCCCAAACTAGGACAAATACTCAGTACTCTCTAATTTCCAATCAATTCTCCAACTCACATGTATACGTGATTAAAATGGATAAACGTAAACATGGATAAAAAAATTAGAATTACACGTACCAATTTACTGAGAGCTCTAAATTCGAATTAAGTTGATTCATCGCTCACGACTTTTAATCAAATGAGCTCTATATACTTGACGTTGTCTAAGATATTGACGAAGACTAGATATTAAGCACTGAATAAGAGAACAAGATGTTGTTTGATCATTAGCTGTTGTGAATTGCCAATCATTTTGATCTTCACGATTGTTGAATTCATTCTCTGATGAATAACCATTAACTACTATTTCCGCCGAGACTGGATTACTTTTTACAACATTCGAATGTAACGAGTTATGATCAGAATTCTTATGGATGTCTAATCGATTGCTTAATTCCAGGATAATATTTCTTGTTTCTATGAGGACATCAATTATTGTTGAATTTTGCTGAAGATTAAAATAGAGAAAGATCAATCGAGTAATGTGATATATTAATTTGAAATATTATTATAATAACAACAACAGTGACAGACATTACAAATGATTTCAGCAATAGTTTTAGTGAATATCCACTGCTAAGGTGCCTTAGCTTGTAGAAGATACTTTAAGCATATCTGAAGAACCCAGACATACACACATACGGAAAGAGAGAGTGGGAATGAAGGCCAGTAAATTAAGTAGATGGCTATTCAGCATTTAACGATTACACTGAGTTGAAATCTCTGAGAAGACATATTCACGCAGACCACTATAACTTTGACAGTAGACGCACATAATATACAATAAATGGCAGAGAAAAATCAGTGGCATAAAAAAACTAAGACATTTGAATTGATGCTAAAAATCCTTGGAATCACACCCATATACATTGTAATATTCACACTTAAACATAGAGTTCAAAATAAAGAAGTGAGAAATTCAAGCATATATTATTGAAATCGATAACTGCAGAAAACACTACTCTAAAACAAGATATGTCTAATGATAAGAATCTTCACAGGCTAAAATTAACACCAAAGGTGACAATGCAACCTATATATATAATCCCTTTAGATTGCCAGTGGAACATAGAGCTTCATGAAAGAGGCTTGAATTTTCAGTGGCGGTGGTGTTTATTTTTACGGGATGGAGGTGCTAGACTCATGCCCCAACATTCCCTATTTACCGGGGTTATTACTGGTTTAGTGAGTTGAACGGGAGCGTTGCCTGGGAGTCAAAACCTGGACCAAATGTGTGGTTGGCGAGCATACTACCGCTATCACACCGACGCGCATATATATATATATATATACATATATTGTATAGCCAATAGTCAGAATTTGTAATTCATGGGCCATTGGATCGAGTCCCAGTGTTGAATTTTCAACGAGCTCGCTTTCTAACCGGAAGGTCCTGGGTTCCAACCCAGATTGCGGGATACTCCTGGAGAGTCCTAGACTAAGGCGGAACAGCTGTCCAGTACTCCTTAGTTTTCCAGTGGTCCTCTAACCAATGTCAACTCGTGAACAAAGCTGTAACCAATCAAATCCCTGCAAACCATCACTTGATAATGCTAGAGAAGTCTGATCGTCATTATCTCTCGCTTATTCAGTATGCTATAAAATATAATGATTTAAGTAGAAAATGTGTGCAAACCATATCGACAACTGAATAAAACACGAATGACACACGCATATACAAACTATTACTCTTCAGATTTATTGAACCACTTGATGAACATGGTTTTTTATTGTGAATAATACTTTTCGCATGTTGAGAGTCTGTTAAAACTTCAACAAATACACCCACTGGTAAAAATGGATGCATTTCACACAAATATTAGCTTATTGGTTATAACAACTTACTTAAACATACAAATACTCGATTCAGATGTCAATAGAGACCAAATCACTTATTCATATGCACAAGCGAAAAATACGACAAAATGAGTGTTCTGAATTCCACTGACAACGATTGTTGAGTAAATCAATCAAAATCGTATTCATTTTTAACATCAGACAAGGTAGTAGTAGTCGAGAAAGTAGGAAGACATACAGCTCTGGACGGATTCTTCATTTGTCTCACTACATAAACTTTATAAATTCCTAGAAATGATCTTTATGTAGGTTTTTCATGAGAAACAGAATATTTTCCAGAGTTAGTATGTAGGGATTTGATTTGTTGCAAGTTTGATCACGGACTGATATGAATTAGGGAAAAATTGAAAATTAAGAAGTACTGGATAGCTGTTTTGTCCCAGTTTGTGACTCATCTGTGGCAAGCACTCAACTGGGTTCGATGATGCTGGCTGGTGACCGCCTAGAGAATGAAGCTACTTGGATATCTAGTGAGGAGTTATGACTAGTCGGGTCTACCTGATATCGTGTGAGGGCAAATAAACGCGGATAATATTTGTTTGTGGTCGAGCTAAAAACATGAATAGGTGGAATATAGAATTGATGGAAGACAGGAGTGGGTCCCAGTGACTGAATAGTTTTCTAGCTCATCTTGTAGCGGGAAGGTTGTGAATTCGAATCCTTGTTCACGCGTACTGATGACGAGTCCCAACATGGGATGAAACAACTGCCTAGTACTCTCTGGTTTTCATTTACCATAACTGATATCATTCCACTGTCAAAATGGAAATTTAGTAGATTACTCCACATTTCACGTCTTCTGTTATTATTATCGGGAACTAAACACGTTCACAGATCAGACTGTCATTATTATTACAAGGAACACTTCAGCGTACTGTCTTCACCCCATTCCTTGTAATGTGCTCCAAATGTTTCCCCACACAGGTGGATGTATTCTTTTTTGGTCAATATTCAGACTTTGGAAATCCTCAATTAATTATTCCCTCTCTCCCCCATACTTCTTCACGCACTATAATTTCCTTGAATTTATTTTCTCTGCTTTTATATAAGTTTTGTAGAAGTGTAGCAACTTGAACTAATGTGAGTCTGTAGGAAATTATCTGTCACACAGTCACTTTCTTCCTTTCATGTTGTAGATGAGGATGATTTCGTTGGCACACATACTAAAATTTATTACATCAAGTTTTGTGAAGTAACAGCGAGAAAATGAAAGCCTATTTTGTGTATGTATCCTTTACCAAAGATTTAATTTTTCCCTAATTCCCAGTCACATGGTTTCTTCTTAGCACCCCTTACATTAGATCCTATTCCATGCAGTTTTGGCTGCTGATATGATACAGCACTACGATTGCATACAACCTCTAGTAGTTTCTGAATCCGTGCGTTATTCCATCAGAAGTTGAACATGTCCATAAGTATTTATTTTACTCAGTGAAATTCTGTTCCTTGCCAGTTAGCTGACAATCACAAACTATATCTCATGAATGTATTGATAAGGAAAATAATGTTGAAAACTTTTACAATTAGTTTTGAAAGTTATAGTCATTTGGTTAGTTGTATGTCACATCAATACCTTAGTTAATGAAATAGACTGAGAAAAGCTTCTGAAAAATCTTCAAGACAACCCGATATAATAACTTTGCTTCTTTAAAATAATTAACCCAATATACACCATGTTGACAAACACTCATTGAATGATCATTGACTATGAATCTTGATAGTAACTAATTTCATTTCTGACTTCACTTAAATTTGTGGTGAAATAAAGACTAAACATCGGATATCAGGATGCGCTAAAATATTATCTTCAGTCAGGTACACTACTGCAACACCAGGAACGATAATTCATGATCAGAAGGCTTCATTTATTTTATTAAGTCTATGGAATAATTTGAAACTCAATTTGATTGGACAATAACTAGTCTCATGCGTCTTGACATTTATTTGGTGTAGACTCAATTAAATAAGTCAAGTTTGCAAATGTGATCACCATGGTAGGTGGCTGGCCGCTACGGTAGACTCTGAATTGTTGATATTAGACAGTTAGAGGCAATCGGCAGAAAAATCTGCCTAGACCTAGGTTTTGTGGTTGTGTTACCACTTGCCAGCAACTGCAACAGATGGCAAGCAGTCACATTGCGAACTTGACTGATAGAATTCAGTCCGCACCAAACAACGGACTAGATACGTGATACTAGTCACTAACTAGTGTCGAACCAATGTATCCAATAAAGTCCTACAAAGGATCAATGGTTAGCCCGAATAGCTCAGTGATAACTTCTCTCACTGCAGTACTGACAGATATAGGTTGAAATATCAGAAGAGACACGAGTTCTTTCATGATTGCAGATACTCCTTAGTGAGTGGTGGAGTGCCAACAAGCAAGAAACCTAGGCCCAAGGCTTCCTGCCTCCAACCATCTAATAATTTGAGGCTCAACTGTTGACTAAACTTTCTAGGACGAATCAGTCTGTGAAAGCAGATCTACTGGCCTCCACTTCTTTCAGATACACAGGAATATTGATTAAGTTGAAATAATGTCTTTGTGGAGGCGGTGCGGTTTTAAAGAGACAGTCTCGTCCAGTATTCATTTTCAGAGGACTTTGAGTTATGTCAGATATACGGGGAAGGTGATGATTGAATACACAGAGCTGCGTCATATCCCCAACTCAGATGGGCCAGCCTTCGCAGGGGTATAGCAAGTCTGTGCTCACCGAAACACTGTAAACCCGACTTTGGGCAGTCAGACTGACGTCGCGACGGAGCCATAGGTGGGCCAAGTTAGCGTATGACAACAAAGCTTTGAATATGTGGTTAGACATCTTGTCTGCATCACACCACTTCTAGCTCTCACATAACTACCTAGATACAGGAACTTGTAGACAACTTCAGGAGGTTTAGATAGGAAGTGGTCTACACGTTTAGTCATGAGATTTTTGTGATATCTAGAGGGTTCTTAGGTTGTGGATGGAAATCTGAATCCATAGGTTTCTCTATTTTTCTCTAAATTTTCAATTATTTTTTAAGTTTTCACTCAGATTGTGGTGATAAATTAAGCTTAAAGTGATTGGAATCGATTACCACTCAGATGAATATGAATCAGCCTTTTAACTACTTCGTTTAATTTGTTTTCTTCCATTATATAGGCCATCGATATTTACGAATATGAGAAAACTTTAACTCAAAGATACATACCCCTACCGCTATCCAAAGAATTTTTACACGGTTCATCTGATAACATACCGGAATTCATTAAACATACTATGAAGGTCATTGATTTGACTTGTGTTTCAGGTTATATCACAGTATTGGCTCCCATAAATAAACATGAATATGATCGAAATGTTGACACATTGACACAAGATGATGATCAGCTGGCCTCCTCACCAGCTGGCGCAGATTTTCCTTTGTTAAGTGAACATGAAGAAAATGAATATAATTCGTCTGGAAAAGTTGTTTTAGATGAAAATGAACTAATCACAATTATGAATGAACGCAAGCCAATTTATTTTATTACATTACAATTAGGCTTGCCTATTTTTAATACTGAATTGAATCGTGCAGTTTGTACACAAATTTCTAATCAAAACTTATTATCTACTACCAATCGTGATCATATAGTAGATAATAATCGTCTTATTGTTAAAGAATTTGAGAAATTCATGTTGGAACACTGTTCAGCACTTTTACCTAAGCAAAATCAATGTAGTTATTCAACACTTGTAACTAGTTTTGGTGGTAATCTTCCTGATACTTGGCCTCTTCCTACCAAGAAGTTGACTTATGCCAACGGTACTTTGTCGTTTTCATAAAACGCATAAAATGCTGTGATATTATTTCCACGTTGAAATCAGTAAGTGATCCAAGCCAGCGCATCTACAGGAAGCATTGCATCAAACTGTTGATTAGCAGCTTGACATAACTTAAAGACCTCTGAAATGAAAAGTGGACAAGACTGTTTCCACAAAGACGTTATTTCAACTTAATCAATATTCATGTGAATTTGGAAGAAGTGGAGGCCAATAGACAACTGTTCATAACTAATTGAGATAGCTCTGCTTTCATAGACTGATTCGTCCTAGAAAGTTTAGTCAACAGTTGAGCCTCAAATTATTAGATGGTTGGAGGCAGGAAGCCTTGGGCCTAGGTTTCTTGCTTGTTGGCACTCCACCACTCACTAAGGAGTATCTGCAATCATGAAAGAACTCGTGTCTCTTCTGATATTTCAACCTATATCTGTCAGTACTGCAGTGAGAGAAGTTATCACTGAGCTATTCGGGCTAACCATTGATCCTTTGTAGGACTTTATTGGATACATTGGTTCGACACTAGTTAGTGACTAGTATCACGTATCTAGTCCGTTGTTTGGTGCGGACTGAATTCTATCAGTCAAGTTCGCAATGTGACTGCTTGCCATCTGTTGCAGTTGCTGGCAAGTGGTAACACAACCACAAAACCTAGGTCTAGGCAGATTTTTCTGCCGATTGCCTCTAACTGTCTAATATCAACAATTCAGAGTCTACCGTAGCGGCCAGCCACCTACCATGGTGATCACATTTGCAAACTTGACTTATTTAATTGAGTCTACACCAAATAAATGTCAAGACGCATGAGACTAGTTATTGTCCAATCAAATTGAGTTTCAAATTATTCCATAGACTTAATAAAATAAATGAAGCCTTCTGATCATGAATTATCGTTCCTGGTGTTGCAGTAGTGTACCTGACTGAAGATAATATTTTAGCGCATCCTGATATCCGATGTTTAGTCTTTATTTCACCACAAATTTAAGTGAAGTCAGAAATGAAATTAGTTACTATCAAGATTCATAGTCAATGATCATTCAATGAGTGTTTGTCAACATGGTGTATATTGGGTTAATTATTTTAAAGAAGCAAAGTTATTATATCGGGTTGTCTTGAAGATTTTTCAGAAGCTTTTCTCAGTCTATTTCATTAACTAAGGTATTGATGTGACATACAACTAACCAAATGACTATAACTTTCAAAACTAATTGTAAAAGTTTTCAACATTATTTTCCTTATCAATACATTCATGAGATATAGTTTGTGATTGTCAGCTAACTGGCAAGGAACAGAATTTCACTGAGTAAAATAAATACTTATGGACATGTTCAACTTCTGATGGAATAACGCACGGATTCAGAAACTACTAGAGGTTGTATGCAATCGTAGTGCTGTATCATATCAGCAGCCAAAACTGCATGGAATAGGATCTAATGTAAGGGGTGCTAAGAAGAAACCATGTGACTGGGAATTAGGGAAAAACTAAATCTTTGGTAAAGGATACATACACAAAATAGGCTTTCATTTTCTCGCTGTTACTTCACAAAACTTGATTAAATAAAGTTTAGTATGTGTGCCAACGAGATCATCCTCATCTACAACATGAAAGGAAGAAAGTGACTGTGTGACAGATAATTTCCTACAGACTCACATTAGTTCAAGTTGCTACACTTCTACATAACTTATATAAAAGCAGAGAAAATAAATTCAAGGAAATTATAGTGCACAAACAAATGGTATCCTCGTGTATTCGCCCTCACACGATATCAGGTAGACCCGACTAGTCATAACTCCTCACTAGATATCCAAGTAGCTTCATTCTCTAGGCGGTCACCAGCCAGCATCATCGAACCCAGTTGAGTGCTTGCCACAGATGAGTCACAAACTGGGACAAAACAGCTATCCAGTACTTCTTAATTTTCAATTTTTCCCTAATTCATATCAGTCCGTGATCAAACTTGCAACAAATCAAATCCCTACATACTAACTCTGGAAAATATTCTGTTTCTCATGAAAAACCTACATAAAGATCATTTCTAGGAATTTATAAAGTTTATGTAGTGAGACAAATGAAGAATCCGTCCAGAGCTGTATGTCTTCCTACTTTCTCGACTACTACTACCTTGTCTGATGTTAAAAATGAATACGATTTTGATTGATTTACTCAACAATCGTTGTCAGTGGAATTCAGAACACTCATTTTGTCGTATTTTTCGCTTGTGCATATGAATAAGTGATTTGGTCTCTATTGACACCTGAATCGAGTATTTGTATGTTTAAGTAAGCTGTTATAACCAATAAGCTAATATTTGTGTGAAATCATCCATTTTTATCAGTGGGTATATTTGTTGAAGTTTTAACAGACTCTCAACATTGCGAAAAGTATTATTTACAATAAAAAAACCATGTTCATCAAGTGGTTCAATAAATCTGAAGAGTAATAGTTTGTATATGCGTGTGTCATTCGTGTTTTATTCAGTTGTCAATATGGTTTGCACACATTTTCTACTTAAATCATTATATTTTATAGCATACTGAATAAGCGAGAGATAATGACGATCAGACTTCTCTAGCATTATCAAGTGTTGATTTGCAGGGTTTTGATTGGTTACGGCTTTGTTCACGAGTTGACATTGGTTAGAGGACCACTGGAAAACTAAAGAGTACTGGACAGCTGTTCCGCCTTAGTCTAGGACTCTTCAGGAGTATCCCGCAATCTGGGTTGGGACCCACAACCTTCCGGTTAGAAAGCGAGCTCGTTGAAAATTCAACAACTGGGACTCTATCCAATGGCCTTTTGGATTCTTTTACCTATATTTATTCGGCTAATTCTAGTATTCGATTGGAGGAAATGTTAATGCAATAAACCTTATTATTGGTGTTCATCCGATAATGAGGGACTAATTGAACAGTGATGTATATTTTTTCGTTCAGTCTGTTGTTTTTTTTTAACTAGTAATGTGTCTTGATGTGTAGTGTATTTGACAGAAGAAAAAGGTTAAGGTTATATAGGGAAAAGATTTTAGGACTTACATGGGTGGTCTGTCTGAACTTTGGACACGGAGTCATTGCGTGTTAATAGCGCATGGAAGGAGGAGAAAATGGCGCCTGTGCCTATCCGGATACTAACTCGTTAAGAAATAAATGAAAACATCTAAAGCATCTACAGACAGAGTAGATGTTTATTTAGTTAATATTAAGGTTGATTCGGGTTGATCTATTTATTTTAGCCCTAGACTTATTCAGGTGCAGTGGATGGTCCACTGTTGGTATTCTCAACACGTGGAAGTACTATTCATTAGTCATATTCTTGGTAAACATTATCACACAAAGTTGCCTTCTCTCACATCTACAATAAAGTTCAACGGAGATGCTAATTACAAGACAACCTAAACAAGCTCATATGCATGTTGAAAGACACTAACTGGAACTTATTTACAGAACAAACATTAGATGACACAATCACAAACACTACTGATTATCTTAAATTCTGTTTCGAAAAATGTTGTCCTAAAGAAACATTATTCATTAGATTTGTCCGTTTCTCTTCTCCATATCTCAAATAGCTACATAGAGATAAAGAACTGTTGTTCAAAACAAATGATAAGTCAGGTGTAAAAGAGTTAAATACTCTGATAAAACTCGAAATGCAAAGACTAAATGTTTTATATAACCAAAGATTCTTATCATGTAAAATCCCTTCTAGTTTGTGGACACTTTTCAAAGAAATTACTAGCGGTAAGCGATTTACTTCTGTCTTATCACTTAATGTTGATACTCTAAATAAGTCTTTCATACGCTCTTCTGTCGATATCCTTCCTAATGCTACAAATCATACAGACAACAGTTTTAATGGTTTTAATACCCTTGATGTGCTTAAATATCTCCGGTCTCTTAAGCCTTGGTCCTGATGGTGTACCTGCCATTGTCCTCAGGAACTGTGCTGATATTTTGTGTTACCCTCTTACCAACATTTTTATTCCTTCTTTTTCCGGTAACGTTCTACCTTTTGCATGGAAAAACATTAAAATTATCCTCATACCAATATCATCTTCTGGTATTGATATTAAATTTAGGCATATTGCAATTACTTCTCCTTTTTTAAAAATTGATGGAAAAATTACTTTTACTTCGTCACTAACCTTCATTGAAACTTTTTAATGATCCTAAACAATTTGCATATAAACATGGTAGAAGTACCTTGGATGCTGCGGTTGTCTTATATCATAATGTTATTTCTTGTTTAGAAAAAGGTGCCAAATATGTTCGTGGTGCTTTCCTAGACTACACATCTGCTTTTGACTCTGTACCTAGGGGCCTTTTATTAAATAAGCTTTCGTTGACGCAAACAGGATCCTGGGCAAAGAATTGGTTGCATTCTTATTATTCTGATAGAATGCAGTATACTGTATATAATGGCAAATCTTCTTCTACATCGCTTACAAAAGCCGGTGTTCCTCAAGGTGCCATCCTCTCTCCTTTTCTTTTTCCTTTCTTCCTACACAATCTGCCTCATTTAAGCGAAACTAACTTTGTCATATATGCGGATGATCTGACTGTATCACTGCCTATCACTTCCGAGTCTGACCGCTCCAAACTTAATAGCTTTCTGTTGAACATCAACAAGTGGTCCAAGTCAAATGGTCTTATGTTAAATCCTTCCAAATGTCAGGCAGTTAACTTTACTTTCAAGCATCGACGTGACATACATGAACTAGTTAGATCCCATGATACCTGTAGCATAGATGGCACAGAAATTGAAACCAAGTCAAGCATTAAATACCTTGGATTAGTTCTTTCCTCTGACCTTTCATGGTCATCCCACATCTTATCAATCTCTAAGAAAATGTTTCGTCTTACTTTCTACATTGAAAAGTTAAGACAATCAGGTATCAACCAACCTTTCTTCTGCAGTTTGTAAACTCCTGTATTTTTCCAATTGTACTTTATTGCTCTCCATTTATCTTTCGTGGGCTTCTTAAAAAAGATTATATCATATTACGAAG